AAAAAAAAAAAAAAAAAACAAAAAATAATAATCATAAATCGAATAGAAATAACCCACAGTTCAACAAATCAAAAGCAAATAACAAAAAAGAGAGCAAATAAAAGATATTCATCGCACATAAGCAAGCAAAGCAATGTATTAATCCGCAGAGAGACGAGAAAGCACAAACCTTTGGAGAGCAAGGCGAAGAAACACAGAAATTTTGCGTCCCTTCAAGTCTTTGACCTGTAATATACAAATCAAAGTTAGTTTAATTTTCATTGTGGGCCGGGCTTTAGCTTTGCATTTCTAAAAGTGCTCGCCCTGTCGCCCAATGTGATTTTCAAATTTTTTTTAAAAAAATATTTTATATTCATTTATCGAAAATAATTCATTTTTTAAATTGTACCCAATGTTTTAAATAGCTCGCTATGTAGGGTTTTTAAAAAAAAACGCAACGTAGGTTTATATATTTCGCATCTTTTTCGAAAAGTTTATGCAAATACTGAAATAGCATGCTTTTTTACGTTATTTTGCGATTTATTTCGTGCTATATTTATAGAACGGCATTTAAACAGTAAAATATTCAAAAAAACTTAAATTTTTAAGGATTAGAGATATATTTTTAAATGATCAAAAAACTAAATATTTTGATAATGATTATAAATTAAAAGTTTAAAAATACAAAGTCCTAAGTTAAATAGTGTAATATATGTAGGTCCAGGTATATTATATTATTACATTTTTGGGTTTGACATTTAAATTTAAGAATAAAAATTTCAAATTTAATGGTTAGAAATAAATTGTAATTAAATTTAAAAAACTTAATTACAATGATATGCTTAAAATTAAATTATGAAATATCTTATTATATTTTCGTCGTTTGTTTTTACTTTTTAGTATATTCTCTTTATTATTTAAATATTTATATATGATATTTACATTAAATATTTGGAATAAATAATTTTTAGATGTTATTTTGGGTTATTCAAATACTATGATAATTTTAGAATCAACCATCTACATTTATTATATGAACGTATATATAATATTTCTACAAAAATAATTTTTTATACTCAAATAGTTTGCGCAACATACAACACTATTTACGCTACGCAGTATGGAGACCAAAACACGACGCATTACGCTTGTTGATGGACAGATCCAATCAACGGTTGAAATATGGAATAATAAAAGTACAAGATCGAAAACAGGGAGAAAATACGGTTTAATTACGATTTATTATATAATTGCGAGGTCGGCCTCTCGTACGAGGTCGACACTTTTGTTATACTTGAGTTTATTACAGAAGCTTGTTACAGATTTTTAGAGAGAGAAAGTAGAGAGAAGGCAGAGTAGTTGAGAATTCAACAACCTAAAATAAATGAAATGGGTTCATATTTATAGTATCCTTAAATGTGGTACTGTTCAGGTACTGTTCACCGGTCTTGTCGAACAGTATTCTTGCAGAGTAGTCTGGCGATCCCCTGACAGTTATTTAATGCGATTTGAGGTTTTCTCAATGATTGCTTGTCAGGCATTTAATGCACACATGAGACGCATTTAATGCTGGCAGGCCTTGTGGTCGGGCTACATGCTATAGGGTGGCAGGCTATGGCGGCTTGTCTTATCACCAATGATTATCCTCCAAGTGGCAGTATTATATTATTATCCAGCCCCGCTCTTGCCCAGGATGACCGCACTGGAACACCAGGTCGGCTCTTGGGTAAGATATCTTCCATAAGTCTTCGGGATCTTTTCTTCAGGCCGGCACCTAATGACCACGGCATTGTTGCTGGAACGACACAAGTGCCGACCTCGGTTATGGCATCTAATGGATGCGGTCGTTATTTAAGTTCGAAACTCAGTTTGGCACTTGCCCATCGGACCGGGTCCCCGTTTCGGCTTTTGGGAATATCCATTCGGTCTTATTTTGGCCAACTCGAATGTCAACATACAGGCCCCCGAGCTCGGGCGGGAGGTCTTCGGCGTCTAGTCTGAGGTCGTCTTTTCTAGAGACGTCCGAGTTTGCCAGACTCGATCTCGACTTGTCTGCTTGCAATTCCGGCTCTTCTGCTCCCCTTGCGGGATTTCTACGCGACATCCGTGCATTGATGACGTGAAGTGAAGCGACGAGTCATTTAATGCGATATGGCCGTTACGCTTATTGTC